TTGGGGGTTTAGTTAATGAACACAGACATCAATCATTTATGGGTTTAGTTAATGAACGACATCAATCATTTAGGGGGTTTAGTTAATGAACACAATCATCATTTAGAGGTTTAGTTAATGAACACAGACATCAATCATTTAGAGGTTTAGTTAATGAACACAGACATCAATCATTTGGGGGTTTAGTTAATGAACACAGACATCAATCATTTGGGGGTTTAGTTAATGAACACAGACATCAATCATTTGGGGGTTTAGTGAATGAACACAGACATCAATCATTTAGGGTTTAGTTAATGAACACAGACATCAATCATCTAGGGTTTAGTTAATGAACACAGACATCAATCATTTAGGGTTTAGTTAATGAACACAGACATCAATCATTTGGGGGTTTATTTAATGAACACAGACATCAATCATTTGGAGGTTTAGTTAATGAACACAGACATCAATCATTTAGGGTTTAGTTAATGAACACAGACATCAATCATTTAGGGTTTAGTTAATGAACACAGACATCAATCATTTAGAGGTTTAGTTAATGAACACAGACATCAATCATTTGGGGGTTTAGTTAATGAACACAGACATCAATCATTTAGGGTTTAGTTAATGAACACAGACATCAATCATTTGGGGTTTAGTTAATGAACACAGACATCAATCATTTAGGGTTTAGTTAATGAACACAGACATCAATCATTTAGAGGTTTAGTTAATGAACACAGACATCAATCATTTGGGGGTTTAGTTAATGAACACAGACATCAATCATCGGAGGGGGGGGGGGGGGGGGGGGGGGGGGGGGGAGGGGGTTAAGCAAGTCATTTATTCAAGTAACTTCTACACAGACATCAATCATTTAGGGAATTAGTTACCAGGTAATTTATTCTAGTAGCTCCTCCCCCCCGCACCCCACAAAAATCACATAAGGCTATAATTAACCATTTTTTTATCTCTCTCTCTCTCTCTCTATTTTTCTTCTCTCTCTCCCCACCTTTTCCATTCCCGGTTATCGTGAGATTTAAAACATCTCTATCTGTAGGACAAGCCAGCGAACAAAGGAAACTCACACTCAGCAAAATCGTATCCTCAGCATCATCACCATCATTGTCGTCGCCAAACCACCATCATCAGTGCCATCATCATCGTCATCTTCATCACATAGCAATTGTTTGTGCTACTCTCAGCACAGATCGCTGACAGGATTCTTGATCTCTCATTAGTTCCCTGATCTCTCATTAGTTCCCTGAACTTCCATTAGTTCTCTGATCTTCCATTAGTTCCCTGGCCTCGTGTGTTTTGTGATGTCTTTAATATCCCGTGTCCACGGCCATGGTGGTCACTGGCTGACTTATCTACCAGCAACAATTTCCTTGACTGTTCTATGTCAACACATCTGGTGTCTTGTATGGTCAAGGTGTTGCAGTTTCTTGACTGTTCTATGTCAACACATCTGGTGTCTTGTATGGTCAAGGTGTTGCAGTTCCTTGACTGCTCTATGTCAACACATCTGGTGTTTAGTATGGTCAAGGTGTTGCAGTTCCTTGACTGTTCTATGTCAACACATCTGGTGTCTTGTATGGTCAAGGTGTTGCAGTTTCTTGACTGTTCTATGTCAACACATCTGGTGTCTAGTATGGTCGAGGTGTTGCAGTTTCTCGAGAATGTCTATTATCATGTGCCTTTAGATGTTCGATTGCGTAGACATGGCGACACGTATTTGTTTCTTGTATATGTGTTGTGATACAGCTGTACCTATCTCCTGTGTCAAGTCTTTTGTCATGTTTTTGTCAGGTATTTTGTCAGACTGTTTGTCCCATCTTTCAGTCCCATTGCTAAAGCGATGGTACAGAAAACAGTTCTAAACATAGCTGCTTTAGGCAGAAACAAAACACCAGCTAAAACTAGCTGAAGCTGGAACAATCAAGTGTCTCACCTCGTATCCCAACTGTTTTAGAAAGATTTCCAGTAATGGCGGCTCTTGGCCAAAAAATCTAAGGTTGGGAAGATATAATACAAAATAGTCACTAAATAATAGATTTTAGTGTACTAGGATCCTGTGTTTTTATTTTCTTTAATATGTCAAATGATAAAATGTTTAACTAAGGAGGTAAACCCCCGGGGAATTTGGGGAGGTGGCAGCCATGACAATCCAGCAGGTTGTTACATCCGGCAGGCTGTTAGATCTGGCAGCTTGTTACATCCGGCAGCTTGTTACATCTGGCAGGCTGTTAGATCTGGCAGCTTGTTACATCCGGCAGCTTGTTACATCCAGCAGCTTGTTACATCCGGCAGCTTGTTACATTCGGCAGCTTGTTACATCCGGCAGCTTGTTACATCCAGCAGCTTGTTACATCTGGCCGCTTGTTACATCCGGCAGGTTGTTACATCTGGCAGGTTGTTACATCCGGCAGCTTGTTACATCCCGCAGCTTGTTACATCAGGCAGCTTGTTACATTTGACAGGCTGTCACATCTAGCAGGTTGTTACATCCAGCAGGTTGTTTCATCCGGATGGTTGTTACATTCGGCAGGTTGTTACATTAGGCAGGTAGTTACATTCAGCAGGTTGTTACATTCAGCAGGTTGTTACATTCGGCAGGTTGTTACATTCGGCAGGTTGTTATATCCAGCAGGTTGTTACATTCGGCGGGTTGTTACATTCGGCAGCTTGTTACATCTAGCAGGTTGTTACATCCAGCAGGTTGTTACATTCGTCAGGTTGTTACATCCAGCAGCTTGTTACACCCGGCAGCTTGTTACATTCGGCAGGTTGTTACATCTAGCAGGTTGTTACATCCAGCAGGTTGTTACATTCGGCAGGTTGTTACATCCGGCAGCTTGTTACACCCTGCAGCTTGTTACATTTGGCAGGTTGTTATATCTGGCAGGTTCTTACATTTGGCAGGTTGTTACATCTAGCAGGTTGTTACATCCAGCAGCTTGTTACATCTGGCAGCTTGTTACATTCGGCAGCTTGTTACATTTGGCAGCTTGATACATTTGGCAGCTTGTTACATCTGGCAGGTTGTTACATCCGGCAGGTTGTGACATGGACAACGTTTTACAAGTACAAGACATTTATTCACAGGCTTTGATGTACGGGTTTTGTTCATGTGTTATTGTGTGACTTGGTCATAATTGTGGTCATTAATTATAGTAAGACCAGCTTCAATCGAAATTCTGCTTGACCACTCATACCTGACCACTCATACCTGACCACTCACACATGACCACTAGGTCAGCATACTAGTTGTTTTGTTGTTATGGCAGCCAACGTATGGATAGGTTTAAAAAGGGGCTACACAAGACATCAACCTTACAAAACTCATAGTTGAGTAGCAAAAGGCTACAGAAATGATAACTATCAGAAGAAAGAGACGCACACAATAAAACTGAATGTTTGGCACAGAGATGTTTTAAATAGACTAAACAACTGGCTATTTGAAAAACAACATGGAAAATACACGAAGTGTAAACATGTGGGCAACAATATCTGTTACCAAAAAAAAAAAAGGGGGGGGGGGTGGGGGATGTGGTTACAATGAAAGTTGAGAAATAAAACTAAGATACTGGAATGCCGAGCATTGATTCTCTGGTAGAGAACGCTGAAACTCTAAATACGTACTTCTGTACTTGTCACACACACATACAGATGACTGATGAAAGATGACTCACTTAGTTAACTTGTTGACCCTCCGTGGGTTAGTCAGGGATGGAACCCAGCCCTGGTACCTTTCAAAGTCGCTCAGCAGACGGTTAGGTCTCACCAAATTGCCAGGTAGGGCAGGAGAAGCTGAACGCTGAGACTTCAGTTCTTGGATCTCTCGTTTGACATTCTCCATCTCTCGGGACAGAGAATTTTGCACCCGCATCTCGGAACTCAGATGGGCAACACTCCTGGCCAGTGTGATCACGTGAGACTCTAGTCTCTGAAACCGTTTACCAATGGCCCTAAAATCAGATAACAAGGATACACGGATGTTATGTTGTGTTCTGTTATATTATGTTTTGTTTAGCTATCGCAACTTATAACACTGCACACTGCGCATTCCAATGCGGGCTTAGTTCTCTGATGCAGTAAAACTGTATTTATCCATTGCTACAGACTATGCTCAGGAATTCGGTTACAATATTCCATATTTTTACCTCAAAAGCTTCATTGGCGTGTGTTATATGCGATCCGTCAGAGGAATCGCACGCTTGCCAAGGGTCCAGGGGATTTGTTTACGCTTCCCCTATACATACAAAAGTTCTCTAATGGACGATGTACTACAAACACTAGAACAACAAGCTCAACTCCTAATACACCAAAAGTCATGTCTGTAATAGTGCATCAGTCTTATTGTTATGGACAAAACACGTCACGACGAAGATGAATGGTGATCGATGAAACACTGTCAAGTCTTCTATTGCCTTCCCAAATATTCAACTCGGCAGTCACTCTAAACATGGACGAAACACTTCAGCGAACCGACTCCTCTGCCCCAGGTGCCTGCTATGGGCAACTCACTCCTGACAGTGCAGTTACACCTGTGTGATGTACAGTGACAATCCTCTGACGGTGCTGTCCAAAAGGGGTCCGTCACCAAGGACTCAAGATAGATGCACCTCTTGGTGAAAACTCCAGGCCTCCCGCCTGCTAACCCAGTCACTTAACGAAAGCATCGCTGACTAACCATTCCATCAGTCTGCCTCCGATACTCCCCTCCCCCCTAATCACAACTACACGTTGGCTGACACCCAAGGTTCCCCGGCCTCTTCCGTGCCCTTACAGAAACCCGTCAACCACATATCCCATAGCCGCTACACTGTCGACACCACAACACATGGGCCGACACAAGTGCATTCTAGAATTTACAGACAGAATTCCAAAAGTCTATCTAACGATCCACCACACCATTAGACAGTTCACATGAGCTCCAACAGAATAAAACACCTTGTTAAAACACACAGACAGGAGCAAAACATGCTCAACTCGTCCACATTCTAAGACTGACCGAGAGGCCCTGACATAGGACATCGTCCATATACTAAGACTGACTGAGAGGCCCTGGCATAGACATCGTCCATATACTAAGACTGACCGAGAGGCCCTGACATAGACATCGTCCATATACTAAGACTGACTTAGAGGCCCTGGCATAGACAGCGTCCATATACTAAGACTGGCCGAGAGGTCCTAACATAGACATCGTCCATATACTAAGACTGACCGAGAGGCCCTAACATAGACATCGTCCATATACTAAGACTGACCGAGAGGCCCTGACATAGACATCGTCCATATACTAAGACTGACCGAGAGGCCCTGGCATAGACAGCGTCCATATACTAAGACTGACCGAGAGGCCCTAACATAGACATCGTCCATATACTAAGGCTGACTGAGAGGCCCTGACATAGACAGACACGGATTCACCTTCAGTGGCCCCGGTCACGCTTGGGTTTCACAATACCTGCGTAGACTGCTGTTACCCGTTAATTTCAAGAAACATGTCTCACGCATCAAGTAACCTGGGCTTTTTGCACTCATCTCAGTCATCATCATCATCTAGTGCCTTCACGACTGGCGAAGGTGATCACGCCTCTGACCTCTGGTACAGCTGAATAGCAAAGTGTGTTCAGCACACAACAACATGCTTGGGCAACCCTTACTCCTAGTTCATGCAATATGATTAGCGTCTCTGAGACTCATCCTTATCTGACAGCATCATTAGTACAGCTTCCAGCCGCAAAAGCAGAAGCAACAAGAGTAAAAACAACAACAGCGAAAACAACAATGACAATAATAATGACAGCCACGGCAACAAAAATAACAACAACAGCAGCATCATCATCAACGATAACAACAACAAACCACCAACAATAAAAAGACTAACTTGACATCCCGACCGCCCAGCTTGTGGCCAGATGTCCGACTGTGCAAGCTGTGGTGGCTGTGGTGTCTCATGGAACTTGTGTCAGAGCTCCCGATGCTCCATCTCCTCCTGGTTCTTGTCCCGTGGCTGGCCTCTCCCAGCGTCTTCATCACATGTGAGTACATTCCCTCCAGCCTGTACATGTAACAACATAAACATCTCATAAATATATCATAAATAAATCACAAAAATAACACAACATAACACAAACATCCCCTCCAGCCTGTACACGGAACAACATAAACATCTCATAAATATATCATAAATAAATCACAAAAATAACACAACATAACACAAACATTCCCTCCAGCCTGTACATGTAACAACATAAACATCTCATAAATATATCATAAATAAATCACAAAAATAACACAACATAACACAAACATCCCCTCCAGCCTGTACACGGAACAACATAAACATCTCATAAATATACCAAAAATAATACACAAATAAAACATAACATACACATTCCCTCCAGCCTGCACACGGAGTAACATTAAAAAATAACACAAATTTAACATAACATAAACATCCCCTCCAGCCTGTCCACGGAGCAACATAACATGCCAACATATATATACATATAACAAACAGACATTATATTGACTGGCACTCATTAAAAACAGTAGAAAGACAGAAGGGCACGCTAGACAATATAAAAATCTAAAGCTACAGTTATCGTGCTGGGAATCAAACCTGTCATTTCCAAAAGACGTATGCGCCTCGCAATGGAAACAAGTGTATTAAGAAACATGACTAACTAGGCACCCCTCTTGTATAGGTGACTTCAATGGCAGTCTCTACACCATTTAGATATATAACATACACATTTATTCTCTCCAAAATCCAGATATCTTCTGCATTCATCTATTGGCGATATTGCGTATTCCTACTTACAGCATAGACGTGATATTTACTTCCTGCGGTACTCACTGCCTGAATTAGCCTGACTGGACATTTAGACAAAACATGACATGAGAGTACATTTACTCATAGCTCGCCCTCTTGGACAGTTGACAAAACATGACATGAGAGTACACTTACTCATAGCTCGCCCTCTTGGACAGTTGAGGAAACATGATATGAAAGTATTCTCACTCAACCTCACCCACCCAAACATCCAGACAAAACATGACATGAAAGTATTCTCACACAAGCTCACCCACCCAAACATCCAGACAAAACATGACATGAAAGTATTCTCACACAAGCTCACCCACCCAAACATCCAGACAAAACATGACATGAAAGTATTCTCACACAAGCTCACCCACCCAAACATCCAGACTAAACATGACATAAGAGTATTCTCACACAAGCTCACCCACCCAAACATCCAGACAAAACATGACATAAGAGTATTCTCACACAAGCTCACCCACCCAAACATCCAGACTAAACATGACATAAGAGTATTCTCACACAAGCTCACCCACCCAAACATCCAGACAAAACATAACACGAAAGTACACTCGCTCATAGCTCGCCCTTGTAGACATGTAGACAAAACATGACATGAGAGTATTCTCACACAAGCTCACCCACCCAAACATCCAGACAAAACATGACATAAGAGTATTCTCACACAAGCTCACCCACCCAAACATCCAGACAAAACATGACATAAGAGTATTCTCACACAAGCTCACCCACCCAAACATCCAGACAAAACATAACACGAAAGTACACTCGCTCATAGCTCGCCCTTGTAGACATGTAGACAAAACATGACATGAGAGTACACTCACTCAAGCTCACCCACCCATACATCCAGACAAAACATGACATGAGAGTATTCTCACACAAGCTCACCCACCCAAACATCCAGACAAAACATGACATGAGAGTACACTCACTCATAGCTCGCCCTTGTAGACATGTAGACAAAACATGACATGAGAGTACACTCACTCATAGCCATCATTTGCCCTTCTGACCAAAGCTATTGGGTTGAAATCCGTACTGGGAAAATTGAAACAAAATGGGTACCAGGTAAAATCCTGGGAAGTAAAATCAGCAGGCGTAACATTAACCCCCACCAGTCGAGTGTCAATTGGTCTAAAAAATATGAATCTAGCGTCACATGTCTGATCAGCCACTGACCTGAAAATAGACTTTTACATAGCTACACTGACAGTTATTACATACAGACAGGGGGCGTTCAGCATTTGTGATGCACTTAAGATTGGGGGTTCTGTCCCCCCCCCCCTCCCCCCACATCTAAAACACTTATAATGTTTTAGTGCCCCCCCCCCCTCTCCCAAAGTTGTCTGTACTAAGTAGATAGTCAACACACAGATCAGATTGAGGCCCTTATGCTCCTGGGGCCTCCTGGGTCCAGCATGCCCTGTGTTAAGTGCCCCCAAATATATGTAATTCAAAATATAAACAATGATAAAGCATAAAATATAATGTTATTTATCAAAACTAAACATAACTTATTAGTTAAATATAAACAATAATAAACCATATAATACATTATATTTATCAAAGTGAAACAAAATTTAGACGGGAAATAATGCCAGTTTTTTTTTTAACGTTTCTAGTTCATTTAGACCTGAGAAATATTTTTCTTCTGTCTTTGATTGCAAAGTCAATGATGAGATCCTCTAACTAATCTTCAGTAACACATCTGTGTCTATACTTAACACAGATAAGGGAATCCAGCGTGTTATGTTGCATTGTTGACTGACTGACTGACTTTCTACCTCACTAGGACATCACACAAGCGATAAACACCCGATGACACAGTGTGGATGAGGAGCACCGCGGAGAGGTCCCAGAAACCGCGTTCAGCCTTTAGGCCATATTTATGGCCAGGCTATTATGTCATACCATAAAATGTTTTGCATTGTTGTTCAGCTGGACCTGTTTCATTTGCTAATACCAAATAAATTTCAAAAAAAAAAAAAAAAACCATTGCTGAGCTCAAACGCTACTAAAAATGTATGTGGTGTCCTGACCCTTCGTGATGCCCTAAGCACGCACTTAGGGTGCTGAAGGGTTAATGCGGCCTTGCAATTAAGTGAGTGCCCTTCGGTGGTTCCTAACATTGAAGTACATTCACCAAGACTTCTGGACTTACTAATGGGAGCTAACTGGATAAATTATACAAAATTACCTTTGTAGTTGTGCTCGTACAGAGTTGCTGCCCTTGTGGGAGCGAACTGTACCCCTGTCCGACTGGTCTGAAGGCTCTACTGTCAGTATTGTGTTCTCCACATCAAATGACAGGAGGCTGTCATTCTCTGACTCCCTCACGTCATCCAAGCTCTTACTGCGTACTAGGGCGAGATCCAGATAAAGACATGTCACAAAATAAACAATGTCACATCACACATCATTACATAAGTCGTCCCCTTGTGGGACACAATTTTGCGTTATTTTGAAGCCCCACCCCGGCTTTTCCTGGGGTCCGTAATATAACCTAACGGTTGAACGCCGTTTCCAGGACCTCTCTATGGGTGATCCTCATCTGCATGGTGGCACTTTGTGTCACTGGGTGTTTATCGCTCTGCGTCATGTCCTGGTGGGGTAAATTTACTTACTTATTTTCATCACACATGCCCCAAAACTGTCACCATAAATGCAAGAAATGTAGTTAAGAAAACGTAAAGATCTTATAATTCTCTGTATAACAGTATTATATTTTCCTGTCCTTTTTAGGATGACATTTTTCGTTATTTAAAGCCCTACTCTGGCTTTGCCAAGGGCTGCAATATAGCCTGGCCATAAAAATGGCCTAAAGGCTGAACTCGGTTTCTGGGACCTCTCCACGGGTGATCCTCACCCAAATGTTGGCACATTGTGTCATCGGGTGTTTATCGCTTGAGTGATGTCCTGGTGGGGTAGAAAGTCAGTCAGTCACGCTCAGCATTCTATAGCAGGATTTAGCTACATAAAATCAATCAACCCTACCCGTACAGGCAGCAGTGTAATTAACAAAACTTAAAACCAAAAACACTTTGAACAATGTACTACAATGAAATAAAGAATCACCTTGACTGTGTTGGCCATATGTAGATCTGTAGTCTTTATTGAGAGGTGTGCCCAGCTGTGACTTGGATTTTGTCTCTGCTTGTTGTGTTCTGGACGTGCCTCCTGAAGTCTCAAGTCTGGTCCTGTCCTCTGGAGACTTCCTGAGTAAATCTGGTGTCTTGGGCACAAAATCAGGTGATGCACTGTCTGGGAATCCCGGGTTTGCTGCAACTGGCGTGGAGTTTACTGACCTCCTTCTTGGGGCGTGGGAGGAAAGAGTAGCTTGTGAAGATGCTTGTGGAGTAACTGTACCATCCTCACTCCCTCCGTCATGATAATTGAATATACTGTCATGAGGCTGCAGGCTATACTCATCTTCAAAGCTGCCATCGCTGTCCAGGAAAGCAGAACTGAATCTCGAGAGCGGGCGAGCCAAGCTTTCTTTAACACCAGAAACAACAGGCTCGGAGGTGGAAATGTTCTGTCGTCTTGGGGAGGTGGTTTTAGAAGCAAAGTGTGGGGAAGATACTTGTCTTGCGTCGGCTCGTTTGTCGTCTGATAAAGTTCTATTTCTTTTATGATTTGTCGTCTGGTGTGGGGCTTGAGTGGACACCCGCATGCCGATTTGTGCATCTGGGTATTTAGAGGATGGGCCAATTGTTGGATCCGAACTAGCGTTGGATTTCTGTGGTTTGAACGTGCTGAAAGTTTTAGTGGAGGCCGAGTCAGCACTTAACTGACTAGAATTATTGGAGCCAGATGTTGGGTCCGGATTACTGGAGCTTTGTCCTGTGGGACTTTCTCTAAACGTTGTCCGTCGGTGGTCAGGTGTTGTGCTGCCGGCTTGAAAATCTAGGCTGTTTAAGTGAGGAGTAAATCTTACATTCTGTGATGAGCTGCTAGGTTGCAAATCAGGGGTAGTTAAGTGAGGAGTAAATCTTTCATTCTGTGATGAGCTGCTATGTTGCAAATCAGGAGTAGTTAATTGAGGAGTAAATCTTCCATTCTGTGATGAAATGCCATTTTGTAAATCTGGGATGGCTAAATTGTGATGAGTAAATCTTTCATTTTGTGATGAGTTGCCGGGTGGGAAGTCTGCGCTGATTAAATGAGGAGTGGCTCTTCCATTCTGAGTGAAGCTGCTGGGTGAATTATGGGCAGGTTCATGTGGATTTGATGTGGTGATGTGTGGATGCTGCAACGGTGTCTGAGAGAGATGTGGAGATGGGCGGTAGTTCTGTGAGGACAGAAAGTATCCGTATGATAACTTAATAACACTATAGCTCACTGTGACAAGGTGTTTAAGATTACATAATAGCATATTAGAGAATAATGGATCTGCCAATTGCCAATGACAGAGAATAACAAAACAGATACGAGTATAAGAGATAACAGCAGGTCAGAGAACAACAGATCTGACAGTAACACAGATCTGAATGTAATTTGTTAAAGAATAATATTGATACACTATATATAGAGTACACCATAGGGTATATACTCACAGATATAAGGACGTTTTACGGGGGCAAAAACTGACCTGACATTATCAAAGATTAGAAAGATGAGGACATTTTACGGGGGGGGGGGGGGCCTGACGTGACATTATCAGAGATTAGAGAGATAAGGACATTTTACAGGGGGCAAAAACTGACCTGACATATCAGATATTAGAAAGATGAGGACATTTATGGGGGAGAAAACTGACCTGACGTTTTCAGAGATTATGGAGATAAGACAAACATAAAAAAAAAATAACGTTGACAGAAACAACATATTGCACAATTTATTTCCTGGCATTTTTCGCTTTCTCGTCTCCTGATTTATATAGTAAAAATAAAATAATTTGACATCTACTAACTCATCTTGATTTGATCAGTACATAATGACAATACTGACAATTGTATCTGCTTCTTTGAGATCTAACACCATAATTAGTTCTGAGATTAATTTTTTATCTCTTGATGTTGTCGACTTGATTCCTGGCCACAATACAGCCAACAACTCCCTTGGCTCTCTCCGTCTTAGGGACACCCCTGTAGAGCAGCACATTTTCATGATGATCTTAGATTTCCTGCCCCCCTTGTCTTGGTTTTAGTCAGAGCTAAGATTCCTAATTTGTCTCCTCTATTACCTCATTTCCCTTCCCGTTAATGCTGCTAATGTTCCCCATCCCCTAAATCGTAGTCTGTAAACCATGCCAGTTCATCACCGTTAAGATCCGTCCGGTTTTCTCTCTGTGGTAACTTGTAATCGTAGTTTAGGACAAACAGGTGATTGGCCTGTTGTGATTTACATGGTTGGTGCTGCCTCCTTGAGGCCTCCATGGCTACGGTCTGGCTGATTGACAGTTACCCACTACTTCCGGAGACACATGAAGCACTGAGGTTCAGCCAGACCCTCCTCCTTTTACAGCCGGGCTTGGGACTGGTCTTAGCAGAGTTCCCCAAAATTTGCATCACCCATATTCAAGCTGTATGTCAAAGGCGAATATGTTTAAGTTATCTGAGATTTGCTAGTGTTATTTAAAATAATAGAACTTGTGGTTCAACCAATGATTTACAGCTAGCCACTTACATCGTGTTGCTTGGCAGCATCCTCAAAGGTTATTGTCCTGCCTGGGTATAGAGCATAATCTAGAGTTGACCTCTGACTAGAGACAGCTGGGTCAAGGCTGTTGCCGTAGAGACGCTGCCAGGCACTGCGCATGTCCAGACTGGTTGAGGGTGGTCTAGGGAGACAACAGGGCAGACATGTATGGGCTTTATGTTGTAAGTTGTGTGGTCTTTAGTAGGGCAGACATGTATGGGCTTTATGTTGTAAGTTGTGTGGTCTTTAGTAGGGCAGACATGTATGGGCTTTGTGTTGTAAGTTGTGTGGTCTTTAGTAGGGCAGACATGTATGGGCTTTGTGTTGTAAGTTGTGTGGTCTTTAGTAGGGCAGACATGTATGGGCTTTATGTTGTAAGCTGTGTGGTCTTTAGTAGGGCAGACATGTATGGGCTTTGTGTTGTAAGTTGTGTGGTCTTTAGTAGGGCAGACATGTATGGGCTTTGTGTTGTAAGTTGTGTGGTCTTTAGTAGGGCAGACATGTATGGGCTTTATGTTGTAAGCTGTGTGGTCTTTAGTAGGGCAGACATGTATGGGCTTTATGTTGTAAGTTGTGTGGTCTTTAGTAGGGCATACATGTATGGGCTTTATGTTGTAAGTTGTGTGGTCTTTAGTAGGGCAGACATGTATGGGCTTTGTGTTGTAAGTTGTGTGGTCTTTAGTAGGGCAGACATGTATGGGCTTTATGTTGTAAGCTGTGTGGTCTTTAGTAGGGCAGACATGTATGGGCTTTGTGTTGTAAGTTGTGTGGTCTTTAGTAGGGCAGACATGTATGGGCTTTATGTTGTAAGCTGTGTGGTCTTTAGTAGGGCAGACATGTATGGGCTTTATGTTGTAAGCTGTGTGGTCTTTAGTAGGGCAGACATGTATGGGCTTTATGTTGTAAGCTGTGTGGTCTTTAGGGCTAGCTGCTGACGGAAAGGGGCGGTGTTGTTGAGACAGTGGTCTGGCGGAGAGGGTGGACGTTGATGCTCTCATGGATTGCAGTTCATAGAATCAACACTTCAAGGATGAGACTCAACCACCAGCACATTGCAGAAACCCGGTTCAACCGAACAACCCAGTTATATTATGATTCCGCTACAGGTACAGTCGGGTAGAGTCAGTGCAGGATTTAGGTACAAGCTAAACAAGTTAGGACAGCCTGACAATCTGCAGGCTCCTATAAAAAAATTCATATTTGTTCTATGTGAAAATGCAATTATTCTTTTCATAGAATTTATGTGCAGTTTTCTTTGAATATATTTTGAATGTATAGAAATGCTTTAATTTGTAACTTAGAGCATTTTAAACGATTATGTAATATAATTTATGTGACTTTGCAAAAATATTCTTTATTACTTATTTAAGTAAAACGAAATGATAAATTGTTTCGTTATCCATTTATTAGAAAAAGTTGATATATTTTAAACTTTCTCCCAGATCAGTTAGTGTAATATAAAACTGTCTAAGGACATGATGTTGCGGAGGCACGTTACATCTGGTGTGCCTGCTACAGTGCCCCAATACGAATATACTTGTCTGTTGAACAGGTATTTGAGATTGACCCTGTCAGTCTATCATCCAGATTTAGCTTTTCTAATCGCAGGGTGTCATCTCTTAAGTAGCAGCCTGAGGGGCATATCGGTACGCACTGACGAGCGAGTTCCCTACCTGGCAATTATCTCCTCTACCTGGCAGATCTCTCTCCTACCTGGCAATTATCTCTCCTACCTGGCAGTTATCTCCCCTAAGTGGCAATTATCTCTCCTACCTGGCAGTAATCCCCCCTACCTTGCAGTTATCTCCCCTACCTGGCAGTTATCTCCCCTACCTGACAATTATCTCCCCTACCTGGCAGTTATATCTCCTACCTGGCAGTTATCTTCCCTACCTGGCAGTTATCTCTCCTACCTGGTAATTATCTCTCCTATCTGGCAGTTACCTCCCCTACCTGGCGGTTATCTCCCCTACCTGGTAGTTTCCCCCCTTATCTGGCAGTTATCTCTCCTATCTGTTAGTTATCTTCCCTACCTGGCAGTTATCTCTCCTATCTGGCAGTTATCTTCCCTACCTGGCAGTTATCTCTCCTACCTGGTAGTTATCTCCCCTATCTGGCAGTTATCTCTCCTATCTGGCAGTTATCTTCCCTACCTGGTAGTTATCTCCCCTACCTGGCAGTTATCTTTCCTACCTGGTAGTTATCTCTCCTACCTGGCAGTTATCTCCCCTATCTGGCAGTTATCTCCCCTTCTTGACAATTATCTCCCCTACCTGGCAGTTATCTCCCCTACCTGGTAGTTATCTCCCCTAGAGTCCCTGAGTGAACATCGGACACATATGCTGGGTTGTCGAACCCATGAAATCGTCCAGAGCTACCAGCTCCTTGAGCAGCTCTAGATGATGCTGGATGCTTGCCAGTGATCTCGTTCTGTGGTCTGTGGCTGTACCTCTGAAACAGATCCAATATTATCATTATCTTAGAAGAAAAAAAACCGGTAAAGTCTTGTTATACTGTACATTAGGAAGGATGCTTGATGTTATATCAGTTTAAACTGCCGTAAAGTACATGATCAGACGGTGGTGTCGTTGAGATGATAACATTCTTATCCGCACCAGGCCAGATTTGTTTCAAAAATGACTTTGTCTTACATGTCGACTAAGTCTTAAATGGGTACCAGGTAAAGTCCTGGGAAGTGAAGGCGACCGGGGGGATGCTGACCACATCCCCCACCAGGTGCCGATTCGCCTAGCCTTATATACCCAATACGACTAATGGCGCGGAAAAGGATCCTATATGTTATCAAGATAAATCAAAACTGCTGTCCAAACACTGAGTACTTGGGAGTACTAAATGTAGGACTGGCCTACGTGACCAATTTTTGACTCTTGATTGTTTATTGTTTTCAAAGAAAAGAGAGAACCATAAAGGGAGAGAACCATCAAGGGAGAGAATCATCATTGGAGAGAATCATCAAGGGAGAGAATCATCAAGGGAGAGAATCATCAAGGGAAAGAATCATCAAGGGAGAGAATCATCAAGGGAGAGAATCATCAAGGGAGAGAATCATCAAGGGAGAGAATCATCAAGGGAGAGAATCATCAAGGGAGAGAATCATCAAGAAGTTGTCACCCCTATGTCGTGGACACCTTGTGATCCTGGTAGTTGGAGTGCAACAGTACCGGTTTCTAGGCACCATTCTGCACATCCAAAAGATGTTGTCTGAATCTGTCACCAGTCGTAGACCCATTTCACCGATGTGCTAATTAACTACATTTTATTGTGGACTATTCCGATATTTATATTACGAATTTACTCACAGGTAAGTGATTTTCATTACTGGCGAAGCAATTTTGTATGGCTAGAGACTATTACCATCTCCTTGTTGGATGCAATTTTTCGTTATTTTGAAGCACCACCCAGGCTCTTGTCAGGGGCCGCAGTATAGCCTGGCCATAAATATGGTCTAATGGCTGAACCCGGTTTCAGGGAGCTCTCCACGGGTGATCCTCATCCACATGGTGGCACTTTGTGTCATCAGGTGTTTATCGCTTGTGTGATGTCCTAGTGGGGTAAAATGTACTACTTCTACTGCTACTACTACTACTGCCACCCCTTATCTTGGCGGAAGGAGTCTTTCCCACTTCTGGTTCGGCGACGATTTGAATCTTGACGTCATTCTGGAAGCAACTCCCGAAGCCAGAAGATGGACAGAAAAGATTCTATGACAACTTTTAAATGCCTGACTTGAAACATATAATATTCATCGAGGGAATTTCACAAGAGTATGGGATGTCAGAGATATTATAACCTGATAGTACCGGCTTACCTGGGAGTTGCATGAGGATCACAACCCAGTTGATCCAACAAGGCAGTGCCATCACCCAACCTACCAGCACCAGGTACATAACTTTACCTTGTTGCAGTCACATGAGCAACACCTTGGGCAGGGACATGAAGGGTCACTGTAACTAGAGGACATCTGTTGTGTCATCAACACCCACTCTGGGTAGACTTAGGTGTATCTACACTGATACCAGTCTGACATTTTATTACAAGATCGCTAGAGATCTAAAGGGCACAGAACCCCATGAACTGTTATATCATTAGTCTGGTGCCAGTGTCAACTGCCAAATTAGATCTACATATGACAAAAAAATTATGTGGTGCCAATAACTTGAGCTACCTCACCCCCTGGATTTGATGTAGGGTGGTTGTTGGAGATGTGGAGTACCACCTACACCAGTGGTCGGCAAACTCTTTGGTCGAATGAGCCACAACTCAGCAGCAGGACCATCACATTTTCTTTTAGAGCCATATTTCTTTTTCAAGAACCTGTCAAGAAATTTGTTTTCTGGAGTCAATGTTGATTTGTGGCCGAACGGCCGAGCCGCACTCAGGTCGCTAGAGAGCCGCACTCAGGTCGCTAGAGAGCCGCACTCAGGTCGCTAGAGAGCCGCACTCAGGTCGCTAGAGAGCCGCACTCAGGTCGCTAGAGAGCCGCACTCAGGTCGCTAGAGAGCCGCACTCAGGTCGCTAGAGAGCCGCATGTGGCTTGAGAGCCACCTTTTTTCCGACCACTGGCATAGACCAATACAAGCGGCCATCACAACATTAGACAACTCCAGAGTGTCTTATATAATTAGGGGATATCCTAACTGAGACATGTTACAAAACTGTCTTGAACACCAACCCTTGTTTGTCGCTGTGAACTATTACTGCATACATTAAATACTGTAACATTTGTGAGTTACTCTTTCTAACTTTTGTTTCTCGCTGTGAACTATTACTGCATACATTAAATACTGTAACATTTGTGAGTTACTCTTTCTAACTCTTGCTTCTCGCTGTGAACTATTACTGCATACATTAAATATGTAACATTTGTGAGTTACTCTTTCTAACTCTTGTTTCTCGCTGTGCGTGTGAATAATGTAACATTTGTGAGTTACTCTTTATAACTCTTGTTTATGTACAGGTCTTTGTGTGGGTGTGTGAGTGGGTGTGTGTGTGGTGTGTGTGTGTGTGTGTGTGTGTGAGAGAGAGAGAGAGAGAGAGAGAGAGAGAGAGAGAGAGAGAGAAAGAGAGAGAGAGAGATATACATATTTACATACATCATGTTCCAGGGCTGTCTCCACACGATGACCCCGATCTTGTCGTCTGGCCACTGAAGTGTAAACATCCTCGAACCTCTCACTTGTGCGAGGAATGCCACTGTAGCCCTCACCCAGCATGACACCGTCACCATAGCTGTGGCTTTTCTAAAGCAAATAAAGTCACTCTCTTGTAGAGCTAGACGCAAAAGTTCTTACTGGACTCATGACCCCCAGACTATGTCAGTGAGGAAACACCCAAAGTCAAGGTCATCAAGGTCAAGGACAATGATGACGATGACAATCATGATGATGATGATGATGACGTACATAGATGTTAGCAAGTAGACTCCACCACAACAAAAGGTTTATGTTCATGGATCCTCTCTCTCACAGAAGTGTTTTATCACTCCTCTTGGTCAACCACCTTCTCTCTCAAATATACACTCTATCGCTTCTCTTAGTCAACCACCTTCTCTCTCAAACATACACTCTATAGCTTCTCTTAGTCTACCACCTTCTCTCTCAAACATACACTCTATCGCTTCTCTTAGTCTACCACCTTCTCTCTCAAACATACACTCTATCGCTTCTCTTAGTCTACCACCTTCTCTCTCAAATATACACTCTATCGCTTCTCTTAGTCAACCACCTTCTCTCTCAAACATACACTCTATCGCTTCTCTTAGTCAACCACCTTCTCTCTCAAACATACACTCTATCGCTTCTCTTGGTCAACCACCTTCTCTCTCAAACATACACTCTATCGCTTCTCTTAGTCAACCACCTTCTCTCTCAAACATACACTCAACATCGCTTCTCTTAGTCTCTTGTCAACCACCTTCTCTCTCAACCTTCTCTCTCAACAACACTCTATCACTTCTCTTAGTCAACCACCTTCTCTCTCAAACAAACACTCAACACTTCTCTTAGTCAACCACCTTCTCTCTCAAACAAACACTCAACACTTCTCTTAGTCAACCATCTTCTCTCTCAAACAAACACTCAACACTTCTCTTAGTCAACCATCTTCTCTCTCAAACAAACACTCAACACTTGTCTTAGTCAACCATCTTCTCTCTCAAACAAACACACTATCACTGCTCTTGGTCAACCATCTTCTCTCTTAAACACTCAACACTTGTCTTGGTCAACCATGTTTTTTCTCAAACAAACTGATGGTTTTCAAAATGATTTTGTGTTTGTTATGTTCTGTACAGTTTAACTGAGGTAATGTTCTCTCGTATAACTGTGTCATATCTTTACTCACTGAAGGAGATGAGATTAACTTTCTAAGTTACCAGAAACTCTATAACTGCCTGTATCTAGACTGACTAGAACAACTTACCATGTTGCCACTGATCCCAGATATCTGGACTGAAGAACCCCAAGAGACCCCAAGTGAAGATGGGGGGCGTGCTGGGTACATGGCCTTTGAGTGGTTGTAGGAAGATGTTGATGAAAACGCCATGGCACTTTGGGGTCGGTGTGTGGCGGCATGTTTCGACGGTTCACCTGGCATCTGGTACGAAGTGGCCGGCAACAGGTAACTCGGCCTCTCCTCCAGTCTGCGGGAGGATGTTATGTCCGTTCCACTAGCAAACTGACCATTCTAGAAATATTGGAGTGGAAGCAGTGATTGTTAGAAAATGTCATTCACAAAACACAACACTGACGTAGGTTTCAAACCAAATCGCTTACGTTGTTTTGTTTATCACTTGAAGAGTGACTGTATGATTTTCAGTCTCAGCCACAACAGTGCCCCAAATACAACAACATCTAACACATTAAAAACAGCTCAACCACAACAAAATCCCGATCCCAACAGTATCTGAACGCTAACAAAATCTCAACCACAACTAAATTTCAATCCCAACAGTATCTGAACTCTAACAACATCTCAACCACAACTAAATTTCAATCCCAACAGTATCTGAACTCTAACAACATCTCAACCACAACTAAATTTCAATCCCAGCAGTATCTGAACTCTAACAACATCTCAACAACAACATCTCAAGCCAGCAACATCTCACACCCAAAAATATATCAACATAAACAATATCCCAACCACAAGAAGAGTTCATCCACAACGATATCTCAACCTTAGCCATATCTCAACCACAACCATATCTCAACCACAACCATATCTTAACCCTAACACTAACTCAACCACAACACTATCACGAATACAACAACATCTCAATCACAACAACATGTAAATGATAACACTATATAAACACAACATTTCAACCATTACAACATCTCAACCACAACATAAACATCTCAACCACAACAACATTTCAACCACAACATCTCAACGACAACAATATCTCCACCATAACAACATCTCAACCACAGAACTTCAGACACCAGCTCACACCTCGAAACTTGTGGGCTATGTGCTCAATAAGACACTGGCCGCTTTTCTTCCCAGGACATTCCAGGTACACATGTTAGTTTGCATCGATCAATAAGTTTTAAAAATTGCCTTTTATGTGAATTGGAACCCCAGACATTCTGGCAGTCAGGCAAGCTCTGGATCCTAATCACCACCTCGTCTCTCATCTGCCCGTGGTCCCCTGGGCCAGCTCATCGAGCATGTTGGGATGTCTGTAGCTTCAGCTCGAAATCTGCAGCAGCCATGTTATTCAACAGTTACACAGCCAGGAAGCTTGGGATTGTAGACTTCGCCATTGCTGTCTGTAGACTCGTTGTCTGGTGTGTGGGTCTATCACTTGCAGACTCGTTGTCTGGTGTGTGGGTCTATCATTCGCAGACTCGTTATCTGGTGTGTGGGTCTATCATTTGCAGACTTTTTGTCTGGTGTGTGAGTCTATCATTTGCTCACTCGTTGTCTGGTGTGTGGGTCTATCATTTGCAGACTCGTTGTCTGGTGTGTGGGTCTATCATTCGCAAACTCATTGTCTAGTGTGTGGGTCTGTCACTTGCAGACTCGTTTTCTGGTGTGTGGGTCTGTAATTCGCAGACTCATTGTCTGGTGTGTGGATCTGTAATTGCAGACTCGTTGAAGCTTTCCATCGGAGTTTACAGCCGATGAAAGCTAAGGAGAAGAATATGTAATATAGTGTGTAGTCATATGTTGTTGTTTTTAGTATTATTTCTCAAACTCCCATGTTGGGCCGGGTCATCATTTACAAATAAAGAAACTGTGCCACCTACCACCTGCCTGGGGGGCAGGGATCCATCTCTCCTGTCAGTCCGGCCATCGAACAACCCCCTCCCATTCTGTACATCTGGCAGTCGATGGAGATTCTTTCTTGCGGCAGGAACTGGCCGATCTGTAGACAGAGATGTTCGTCTGATTGTATGTCTGTTCGAGTCTTGTTGTATAGATATCTGTTTTCATTTCTAATGTCGTCATTCAGCTATCTGACTATATTCTTGATGTGCAATTCATTTGTCTGCCTTTATATCCTAGTGTGGCTATTAATTTGTCTGTCAATGTCTTCTAGTGTTGTGATTCAATTGTCTGTCTTTTTATATCAGTTACGTTATGTTATGTTATATTATCACAATCAACGTCACTGCACATTGGGCATTCCCATGCATGCTCATTCCTCAGATGCAGCAGCCACTCCAAAGTACTTCTACTAATTGTTCCCATGAGAGGCTTGGTTATATTGTCTCCTATGTCGGCCTCAAAGGCGGCATAGACGTGCTTCACCGGGCCTTTACTCCCATGTCATGCAATCATGTTGGTATAGGAGATTCCTCCTCTCCACTAGTTAAGTCCGTACAGCGTTGACAATATCTGCTCTCGCCATGCTTCTTCCTACATCAATAATGTGGCTCAGTTGCTTGAGCCCATCTACAAGTTGTCAAGTAAAAAAGGACCCCTTCCTACATTTTCAGGGGTATTGGGCACACAGGGCTTATTTTATAGACCAATTGGCACAATGCTGGGTGATGTGGTCCACATCTTGCCAGCCGCCTTTACTTCCAAGAACCTTACCATATACCATGGATGGATGTGTGAAATAAGGTAATTTGGTGGGAGAAAGTCCGGATTGGTCAACAAGCTGTAGTTTACTGATGTCATTTGTGTCAGTGGTGGGCTGGCTAGTGAATGCTGGAGACCACTGAGTTGTAGCTGAAAGCCACGTCAATGGCCTGGAGATGGCTGGCTGCAATCCAAACACAGCAGAGCTGTTCTAGTTAGGTTTGCTGAGGGGCCAACTAGGCACCGTTAGCAGCCCAGGCCATACAATCAAGCTTGACTCCATAACCCTGTTCAAGCAATGATCCGCGGGCCACTTACTAGGCTTCTGTGGGCCGATTCAGCCGCGGGCCTCCAGTTTTAACACCCCTGCAAAAAATGTTCATATATCTCGCGAGAGGCGGCGAGACCGTCACTTGACCTTGACACTGGTAAATGCGGATGTGCCGGGTCATTGTAAGGTCAGCTCTGTCATGGAGCAAGCACACCAGCGGGTTTCTGATTATCAGAAGTTAGGATCCCCTTTCATGAATGTCAGGGAAGAAGTTGGTCCCCAGTCTAGTTTGTTGCCCAAGATCTTACCTTCAGCGAAGATCATCTGGTGTCCAGCAGTGTCCGGACTACTGACCAGTCGGCCGGGCATTGTCTGTCTCAGTGGCACCCACTACTGTACTTCAGCACCCTGTCTGTCCCCCTGGCATCCGTTGTGGTCGGTCAGCACACACAGACGGCAGGTCGGCCATACTGTCCCTAGTTCCTGGCTGGACAAACAGAATTCATATTCTCATTGAGAGACACAAGTGTGTGCAGAGAGGAGAGAACACACCCAGCTGGTCCCATGGCTGTCTTGCACTGAGATCTGAACCATCAGGCCTTCGCATAGTCTATACCTTCACGTGTCTTATACCACGCCATCCGAGTTGGAGTGACCAGTTTCTTCCCCCTCGCCTTTCCTTCTCCCTCCCCCCTCGCCCCTCCACGCCCAGACCAATTACAAATTCGGTGGTACCCATTTTAATAAGATCAGGTCAGCTCGAGCCTTCTAAAGCTCGGGTCGGGACGGAGGCAGGAACTGGGAGGGGATACATGGCGCCGCTTGTGAGGACTAGACCCGTGGCCTTATCTCTGTAAACATGAGGACTGGACCCGTGGCCTTATCTCTGTAGACATGAGGACTAGACCCGTGGCCTTATCTCTGTAGACATGAAGACTAGACCCGTGCCCTTATCTCTGTAGACATGAGGACTGGACCCGTGGCCTTATCTCTGTAGACATGAGGACTGGACCCGTGACCTTATCTCTGTAGACATGAGGACTGGACCCGTGACCTTATCTCTGTAGACATGAGGACTAGAACCGTGACCTTATCTCTGTAGACATGAGGACTGGACCCGTGGCCTTATCTCTGTAGACATGAGGACTGGACCCGTGGACTTATCTCTGTATACATGAGGACTGGACCCGTGACCTTATCTCTGTAGACATGAGGACTGGACCTGTCACCTTATCTCTGTAGACATGAGGACTGGAACCGTGACCTTATCTCTGTAGACATGAGGACTGGACCAGTGACCTTATCTCTGTAGACATGAGGACTGGACCCGTGGCCTTATCTCTGTAGACATGAGGACTGTACCCGTGACCTTATCTCTGTAGACATGAGGACTAAACACGTGACCTTATCTCTGTAGACATGAGGACTGGAACCGTGACCTTATCTCTGTAGACATGAAGACTGGACCCGTGACCTTATCTCTGTAGACATGAGGACTGAACCGGTGGCCTTATCTCTGTAGACATGAGGACTAGACCCGTGGCCTTATCTCTGTAGACATCAGGACTGAACCCGTGGCCTTATCTCTGTAGACATGAGGACTGGACCCGTGGCCTTATCTCTGTAGACATGAGGACTGGACCCGTGACCTAATCTCTGTAGACATGAGGACTGAACCCGTGGCCTTATCTCTGTAGACATGAGGACTGGACCCGTGACCTTATCTCTGTAGACATGAGGACTGAACCCGTGGCCTTATCTCTGTAGACATGAGGACAGAACCCGTAACCATATCTCTACAGACATTCACACAGACCATCAAACACTAACTCTGACAAACAGCCTGGTCAACTGCTGAAATGCCAGAGGTATGACCGAGTCATTTTAGAGTCCCACTGACAGTAGCGCACAGGTAGCCTTTACTTCCCTGGTCCCCAGCAGCTCAGCTAAGCAGGGCAGATCCACCCCAGTCCTGCTGGAGCTAAGGGAAGTGGGGGTGGGGGGGGGGGGGTCGGCTGCTCCCCTTTCTGTTGGAATCCACACAGAGCCCACACCTTTATATGAAACATCGTCACCACTATTTTAAAAGAAAACAGGCATAGCTACTCAACAGAACATCCTTGTGCCAATATTTTAAACAGAACATCCTTGTGCCAATATTTTAAACAGAACATCCTTGTGCCAATATTTTAACACTCAGAATCTGTGTCATTTAGATAGTGACACTGCTTAAACT